CCTGCCGGAGACACGGCCGAGGGATGGCCCGAAGTCCCGGTGGATTGGAAATCCACTGGAAGAACATGGTCGTGCACTGTGTCGGTTCTCGGCAGTCCCCTGCCGGAGACACGGCCGGGGGATGACCCGGAGTCCCGCTGGAAGCCTTGACTTTCAAATTTCAATGACAATTTCCCGTTGACTTGCGTGTTGTAGGGGCGAAAATGGAAGGGGGGTTTCGCGCTCGTGAAGTATATGTAAGGGAGGGGCCTCTCTCGAAGACCCCCGTGCATTGAGCCAGCAGCGGTGCCTCGCCGTCCCTTGCCCGAGACACGGGCGAGGTCCGAACTGGCGTCCCGCTGGATTGGTTATCCTCGGTAGAGTACTGGTCCACCATCGATTCTCGGTTGTCCCCTCCGGGAGACCGGGCCGAAGGGGGAACCCGAGTCCCGCTGGACTGGTTACCCTCGAAAGAGTACTGGTCCGCCATCGATTCTCGGTTGTCCTCTGCCAGAGACACGGCCGAAGGGGGACCAGGAGTCCCGCTGGACGCCTTGACATTCGGGTTTCAAGGAAAATTTCCTGTTGACTTGCGTGTTGTAGAGGCGAAAATTGAAGGGGGTTTTCGTGCTCCTGAAGTATATATAAGGGAGGGGTCTCGTTCGAAGTTCCCCGTGCATAGAGCAACCACCGTTTCTCGGTTGTCCCTGCCGGAGACACGGGCGAGGTCGGACCGGGGTCTCGATGGCCTGTTTAACACCGGTCCTCCATCGATTCTCGGCTGTCCCCTGCCAGAGAAAGGGCCGAGGGCTGACTTGGAGTCTCGATGGCTTGGTTATCCCCCAAAGAATACTGGTTCTCCATCGATTCTCGGCTGTCCCATGCCAGAGACACGGCCGAGGCTGGACTTGGGGTTTTGATGGCTTGGTTGTCCCCCGAAGAATACCGGTTCTCCATCGATTCTCGGCTGTCCCCTGCCAGAGACACGGCCGAGGGTGGACTTGGAGTCTTGATGGCTTGGTTATCCCCCGGAGAATACTGGTTTTCCATCGATTCTCGGCTGTCCATGCCAGAGACACGGCCGAGGCGGACTTGGGGTCTTGATGGCTTGGTTGTCCCCCGAAGAATACCGGTTCTCCATCGATTCTCGGCTGTCCCCTGCCAGAGACACGGCGAGGGTGGACTTGGAGTCTTGATGGCTTGGTAATCCCCCCAAAAGAATACCGGTTCTCCGTCGATTCTTGGCTGTCCCATGCCAGAGACAGGGCCGAGGCTGGACTTGGAGTCTCGATGGCTTGGTTGTCCCCCGAAGAATACCGGTTCTCCATCGATTCTCGGCTGTCCCATGCCAGAGACACGGCCGAGGCTGGACTTGGGGTCTCGATGGCCTGGTTATCCCCCGAAGAACACACGTCCACCATCGAAACCCGGCTGTCCCTGCCCGAGACACGGACGAGGGTGGACTTGGAGTCTCGATGGCTTGGTTATCCCCCCAAAGAATACCGGTTCTCCATCGATTCTTGGCTGTCCCATGCCAGAGACAGGGCCGAGGCTGGACTTGGAGTCTCGATGGCTTGGTTGTCCCCGAAGAATACCGGTTCTCCATCGATTCTCGGCTGTCCCATGCCAGAGACACGGCCGAGGCTGGACTTGGGGTCTCGATGGCCTGGTTATCCCCCGAAGAATACTGGTCCACCATCGAAACCCGGCTGTCCCTGCCCGAGACACGGACGAGGGCGGACCCGGAGCCCCGCTGAAAGGCGAAACCCCATTGACTTGCGTGGAAGTGCGGGTCGAAATGGGAAAATTTCTTATGGACTCGCGTGTTGTAAGAGGTAAAGATGGAGGGGGTTCTTGCGCTCGTGAAGTCTATGTAGGGTAGTGGACTTTGACGAAAATCCCCGTGCATTCAGCCGCCAGCGGTGACCGGCCGTCCCCGCCAGAGTCACGGCCGTGGACGGACTGGGAGCCCTGTTGAGAGGGGGAGAGCCAGGGGTCTCGACCGTCGCAAGGCGAGCATTTCCGGGTCCACAGATTCTACAGGCACGTGAATGTAAACGGGACTGTGCACAAAAATTAGACGTGACAATTTGTCGTTGAAAGGCATGTTGTGAGGGTGCTTTTTTAGAGGGGGGTCGAGAGGTCATGAAGTATAGGTGAGGGAGTGGTCTCGAGCAATCGAACCCTCCCATGAGAAACACACGTAGCACTACGTTATAGGCAATACGGCCTCGCACCGGCTCACAAGAAGACCCCGGTAGCTTGCGGACTCACCGCCGTGACCCCCGGGAGGTCCTTGCGGCCAAGCGAGGCGAAAACAAACCTCACGAGAGAAAAGGTGTAGGGGAAGCGAGAAGCCCCAGACAGCCGCACAGACACACACTCCGAGCGCGCCCTTTGCGGGCCGCGCCCGGGTCGGTTATCCAAAAGAGAGCGTCGAAAAGAAAAAATGAGAAAAGGAGCCGATGAAAAAGCAAGGGACATGAACGGGCGCTCGAGCCCCGGCCCCTTCTCTGCCGCG